GGCGCTTGCTGCGGCAGCGGGAGGCAGCCGGCACCCAGCGACGCCCCAGCCCCGGCTCCTCGGGGAAAACCTGAGCGCAGGCAGACCGGCAGAAACGCATATTACATCCCTCAGCTCTTCCACAAGTGCTTATACATTGCAAGACCACAAGTACCCAGCTCATGGGTATCCCAAACTCTTTGACCTTTTTGGCCAAATTTGTAACACCTGCCAGTTTAGGCCATTTATGACCATTTCCAAATTCGTCACTTCTCCAAGTGCAAGAACCTGGGAGAGCTGCGAGCAGCCACTCGTCAAATCCTGATAACTTGGCAGATGAGTCCTGTTGGATTGTGGAAAAAAAAAATAAATAATGAAGCCTATGCAGGCAAACAGGGCCCAGGACTCCAGTATCCTTTCACTGTTGTGTGCAAAACAGGTATAAAATGTTTTGTTGTTGAGTTCCTATTGTTTAATCACTTTGTATGAGCTTAAATCATCCCAAAAGGTGGGGCAATGGGACGAGGGGAAACGGCCTCAAGTTGTGCCAGGGCAGGTTTAGCTTGGACATTGGGAAAAAATTCCTTCCCCCAAAGGGCTGTCGAGCCCTGGAAGGAGCTGCCCAGTGAAGGGGTCGAGTCCCCATCCCTGGGGGTATTTAAAAGCCGGGCAGGCGAGGTGCTTAGGGCCAGGGTTTAGTGGTGGGATGGCAGGGTTAGGGGAACGGTTGGGCTTGGTGAGCTTAAGGGGCTTTTCCAACCCAAACGATTCTATGATTCTATGAGTCTAACCGTTACAGGATTGCAGAGAACCAGGTCAGACCTACAGCGTGCACAGAGTTAAGGATAAAGAACAGATTTTTCCGTTCATTGTGACTTTTAAGGTTAAGCTGTTATTTCTTTTCTTAAATTCTTTTAGAAGTATTAAATAGTAATAATATATCTTCTTTTTAATAAACAAGAACAAGCTGAGATTTTTATTTTATTTTAATATCTAAGATAAAGCCAAAATGTCAGCTGGCATTGAAGAAGATGGAAAATGATTCTTTCTTTCTGTAAATATATTTTTATCTAGTGAAATACTGAAGCTTTATAAATTGCACTTTTCCTAAAACAAACAAGGCATTAAATTCCACAGTCCTTTGGAAACTGCCTGGTAGGATGGTTTAAGGTTTAACAAATTTGGGTAAGACTTGGAAATAATTGTGAGATGGGACTTTCAAAAGCAGCCAGCGACTCTGGGCTTGCACACCGCAGTAGCTGACAGTCTAATTTTCAGAATTACAAGAGCAAGAAGCATCCCCCTCTGAAGTTATGCTCTTTGCAGTGTCAAGAGGGCCATGCGGTACCTCTAAACTTTGATTAAAATTTCACACTTTACTCCTTTTAAAGCAATTTCTGATGACCTCATCTGCTGGATAGCCCAAATCTCAGGCAAGGGAGCAATGTCAGCGCCTGAGCCTGTTG